ACTGCTGAAGCCTACCTTGTAGGATTTTGAGCATAACCTTGCTAGCGTGTGAAATGAGTGCAATTGTACGGTAGTTGGAGCATTCTTTGGCACTGCCTTTCTTTGGGATTGGGATGTAGACTGATCTTTTCCAATCCTCTGGCCACTGTTGGGTTTTCCAAACTTGCTGGCATATTGAATGTAGCACCTTAACAGCATCATCTTTCAAGATTTTAAATAGTTCCACTGGAATGCCATCATCTCCACTGGCCTTGTTGTTAGCCCTGCTTTCTAAGGCCCACTTGACTTCACTCTCCAGGATGTCTGGCTCAACGTCAGCAGCCACACTATCTGGGTTGTCCAGGATATCCAAATCTTTCTGGTAGAATTCCTCTGTGTATTCTTGCCACCTCTTCTTGATGTCTTCTGCTTCTGTTAAGTCCCTACCATTTTTGTCCTTTATCATGTCCATCTTTGCATAATCCCCAATTTTCTTGAACAGTTCTCTGGTTTTTCCCTTTCTAGTGTTTTCCTCTATTTCTTTGCACTGTTCATTTAAGAAGGCCCTCTTGTCTCTCCTTGCTATTCTTTGGAAGTCAGCATTCAATTTTCTGTAACTTTCCCTATCCCCCTTGCATTTTGTTTCCCTTCTATTCTCTGCTCTTTGTAAGGCCTCGTTGGTTTATTTCCAGTTTAATTTTCTCTAGCCAAGAGGGTGGTTTTAAATTGTACGAATGATGTATTGATCCATTCCTTATCTGTATAGCATGTGTGCATACCCCTATTGATCCTTTCCCCATCCTTGGCCCCTGGGGAAGGTGGCCACCATTATTGTCATGCAGCTATCCTGTGATTAATTTTTCTTTAAAAATTGTGGCGAGTTTATCGATATATTGATAAACTAAGGTCTGCAGTTTTACAGGGACAGTCTCAGTGTGGATAGACTTCTGTGTGCCATTTGTCTTGTTTACTGTTTGATGCCTCAGCCTACTGTCTGCCAAGCAGCACAGCTTTATAGGAGGGGGCTGGGACCCTAGTGGGCAATGCATTACTTCCAGAATCACAGGCATCCCAAATCGAGTGTTCCAGAATAGGAATCCCTTTCTGCCATATTGATGTATCAGTTAGAGGTGGTTGTTTTTTAAAATAAAAGTAGGGGCAGCACTGCCCCAGGAAACATGAGAGGAAAATATTGATTCCATGTTGTAGCTGTCAATAACATTTCAAATAGGAAGAAATGAATCAATATCATTAAAACCAATGGGAATGTTCCTGCTGGTATATACAGTGGTGCCTCGCTTAGCGATTGCTTCGTTTAACGAAGAATTCACTTAACGATGTGTTTCTTGGAGGAATTTTCCGGATCGTTTAACTATGTTCTCTATGGGGGATTTTCACTTAACGATCTCTGTTTTCGCTCATTTTTAAGTGTCTTAAAATGTTTGAACCCTATTTTAAATGCTTGGAATCGGTAGTCCCCCTTGTGAAACATGTACAAACTTAATTTGGCTCTGTTCTGAGTCTTCGTTAATTTTTGGTGATTTTTTGTTTTCCCCATTTAAATCCATTGAACTGTCCCTTCAATTGATTTAAAGGGGAAAAACAAAAACATTTTAAGACACTTAAAAATGAGCGAAAACAGAGATTGGGAAGCCAATTGAAATGCATTGAAGCTGGCAGGTGTGGTTTGGCCCTAATCATTCTTGAGAGCCAACTATGTTGGTAACTATGATACATCTTGTGGTACTTGATCCAACTGTTCAGCTATGCTCTGCGTGAAGAAATACTCCTGCTTATCCGTCACCGGAAGCTAAGTAAAGCGTTAGGTTTTTTCCTACTTCCTGTCCATCCCACTTCTGGATGCTATACTTTCTCAGGACCTTGCTTCTTCTAATGCTAATAGATTTTGGCAATAACCAGCCGCCACTTCACTGTGTGTCTGCTCAAGGTGCATGTCTCCACTGTGGATATGAATTTCATAGCCTTTTGCTCTTGGTGAGAGACCTGGGGAGAGGGGACTTCTTTCTTCTTCATTGCAAGATTTCTCTGTACATGTTTTTTCCTCAGAAACCTTGTGGGAAAGCTTGGAGGATTTCTTACATGTTGCATAGAGATTTTTTTTTGGTACAAGTACCTTCGGATCAAGCTGCATTCTTCTCTTATAGCTTTAGTACTATTAAGGCCATCAGTTGCATCTACCTAATAGAACCGACAGCTGGGTCTCTGAAGAAAATTAGAACATATGCTAAAAACCCCTAGATTTTAACTCAAAGACCCATCTCATCACAGAACCGACGGCTGGGTCTCTGAAGAAAATTAGAAGATATTCTAAAAACCCCTGATGCTGGCAACTCATCCTGTGATTATAGTCCATTTCCCTGGAAACCTTGAAAAGGAGACTGAACCCCTGAAACTGTTGGTCAAACCCTGAGACCTGGCAGCCATTGTTTGGGCCTTTCTTGCAGCAGCCTGCCACCTTTTGATAAAAAATAGACTTAGTTACATGATAAGACATAAAATGTGGTCTTCATTTTTCATACTATGCCACTGTGGATGAAATAGAGATAGAAACCAAGATGGTAGTGAAACACAAATTTATTAAAAATTTAGCTTCCACATGGAGTGCCCCAAAATAATAGAAACCCTCACTCATCACAGGTGAATATAAACCTTATAAACGTGAAAACAAGAAGCTAGCTAAGGTATAAATAATCCATCATAAGCTAAGGTAAAAGCAAAGTTTCAGAACAATATGTCCTAAACAAAAATTTTAAAGTTTCCGAAGTTTCAACCTGAGCATAAATCCCCTTCTCTTTCTCATAATCTATGTAACAAACTGCCATGATTTTAACACTTAGCCAACCCTTTAGTAGTAGCTGAACAAAATGACCCTATCTTGAGAGGTATGGTTTTTCTCATCCAAACAAGTTTCTTGCAACATATAGATCACATCAGGTACTTGTCCTCACTACTCAAAAAGCCATCTGTAGTCCAATTTCTATAAAATCAAGAAATGTACATCTCGACTTACGAACCGCTCTCATAGGAATATATGGACTCGACTTACGAACTTAGATTCGAGTTACGAACTCTTTCCCCCCCTTTTTTTTTAAAGCTAAGTCATCTTAGGTTAAAAGGAAAAAAGAAAAATATCCCCCTATAGTGGCAGAAGGCGGAATAGCAGCTTCCCATTAGTTTCTATGGACGAAAAGAGCAGTTATGGATTAAATGGTTTTCAATGCATTCCTATGGGAAATGCAGATTTGACTTAAGAACTTTTCGACCTGAGAACTGCCTTCCAATACGGATTAAGTTCATAAGTCGAGACCCCACTGTAGTTTCATATACTTTGATTAATCTCAGTTCAGAAGCCTTTTCTTTTCTTGCTCTTAAAGTTAAATACTTTTCAGATGCTATAAAATGATGAATTTGTGATAATAAATAACCTTATCTTCTTCAACACACTACACATGATCCAAGTCCCCATAAGCATTGGGCCCCACTCCTGAACCACTGGACATACTGCCTAAATGAACAATACAATCCATTAGAGCATGCCTTACTCCAATACAGTACAGAGTTATAAATGGGATAACTGTTTGAGGGCAACTGTAATATAGTGACAGTGAAGGAAAGGAAAGTGATCTATGCATGCTGTGGATTGCAATGGCACAGAAGAAACTATCAGGTCTCTGTGGTTTTTGCTCACTTTGGCAAAAATGAGCTTGAGCAGTGGCCCAAATAGCCTGGCCTTGTGCTCCAGCCATATATTGGTGCATTAAGCTAAATGAAGGACACAGATATATTCTAAAAAATGACTGTGTCCACATTCATCTAGATCCATGTCATTTGCTAGTTTTTTTCTTGGTCCTACAGCTAGGCATCTGGCAATTCCTGTTTATCTCAGTTTGCAATTTTTCTGGTCTTATGTTCAAATCAGCAATCACTTCTCAATATTTATTTTATTTATTTATTTATTTATTTTTGGACTTATATACCGCCCCATA